GCAACTGATAAAAATTTTGATTAATTGTTTTAGTATTAATTCTTGTAAGTTAAGTGGTATGCACAGCATGTATTTTAGCAATGTGTCAAAATCAAAATAATTATAATAATAATAAAATATTAGCTTAGAATTTAAATGTGATTTACTGGCAGTGTGATCATAGCAGAAAGAGAAAGAGACTCCTTTTAATTTAACAGGACAAAGGTGAATTACAGTTACCACTCGTTCTTTCATTGCTTTTTCTGGGTGACAGTAAATGCCCCCTTAATTTCATGCTTGAATGGAGTATAGTGTCCTGCTGACAGCAAGGAGACACAGGTGACCACCACCTTACACCCTCTCACCAGTCACCCTGCTTCTACCCCAGCAAAGGCCTGTTTTCATCTGCAAGGCTCCTGTAACTCACCCACATGCAAATGCTTTTGACCTTAATTAAAGCAGTTCACCTCTCTCTGCCTCTAGGGATGGTTTCCTCATAAGGCAGTTGTGTTTAATTAGCATTTGCATAGCATTCTGCTGGTTGCTTTCCTGGAGCGTTGTTCAGTAGGAGCGTGGGATTGCTGAAGCCTGACTGGCAAGCTTTGCACCCTCCTAATTGACACAGAAGCCAAGTAGAAGTTACACAAGGAAAGAACAGAGAATCGTTAATGATGGATCATTAGCAAGTAGCTCCTTTGAATGAATGTAGATAACTTTATAACTCTATCAAAGTGAAAAGTAGCGTGATGAATTATGCATCAAACAATAAAAGCTCAAGGAAGACACTGGTTTTATAATTGCTGTGCAATTTTCTAGCATGCTCTAGTTTGTGAGATTAATTTTCTTTGGGAAGCATGAAGCATTCTGTCTGTTGCACACAATGTCAGTTTTGGTTTTCTCTCTTTAGAGATTTTATTCTGCTTCTTTCAATACCACTGCAAAAACTCCCAGGCTTTGAAATCCACAATTTTTATGTTAGCAAAAATTTGCACAAGCAAATGAAAAGTCTATAGCTACTAAACCTTTGAGGGCTTGCTGATTTCTTGGTGTAATGAGTTTCCAGATATACACACCTGAAATAAGATTGCCTTGTATCTTTTCTTTTTAATTGAAATTGCATAATAGCTTTGTAGCTATGATGAATTTCTAGACTAATAAATCTCTAAAGGGCATTTTTACTTTGAAATTATCGTCACAAGCATTTCAGTTGGCACAGAGATCATTCCTGTGGCTTGCACTAGTGCCAGTTCTGCCCTCATAGGGCTCGTACTCACTCCTAAGAAGGGGAATTAGTATAAATATTTCTCAGTGATGTCACCTTTCCCTTCAAAATGTACTGATTTCTCACTGAAGATTTCGTTGGAATATTGAACTCAGTGTATTTGAAGTAAATAGAATCAGAGGAACAAGTTAATAGAAAACTTATCCCTGGTGTGAGCTGTTTCTTAGCTTTCATAATATAGTAGGTGAAAGGGACGTGTATTAGTGGGTGAAGGGGTCTGTGAGAGATCTCATCCATCAGCAAGCCCCAGGGATCAGCTGTGGGATCAACTGGTCTAGAATAAATCTCCTTCCTAAAGACTGGACTAATACAAACTCCACAGCCTCCTTCCATGGCTTGTTTCAGGATTTTGCTACCCCTACCATTATAAAAGTTTATTCTTTCTTTCCTACAGTTTCCTTTGTTGCAATTTAAGTCAAGTATTTCTCATCATGGACATGAACAAGGATTTCTTTCTTCTTTCCAGGAAGTTTGCATGGATTCTGGGGGGATGATTAGGATTTATTTTGGTGGTAGGGGTGAGGCTCTTTCACATTTTTTTAACAGTTTTGAAGTTGTTTTTCTCTAGCCTTTCTGTTTAGGTCCATGATCCCACTTGGTTCAGTCTGTCATGTTTCCCGTGAAAATTTCAGTTGCTGTCTTGTGGAAGCTCTCAGGTGTTCCAGATGGCTGTGCAGTGGGGGCCCCACACCAGACACTGCTCCAGCTGTGACTTGCCAGCTCTAACTAGAGCAAAAAGATTATTTCATGTGTCCTGCAGGCATCTCTCTTGTTTGTACACCCCTGTATGATGCTTGCCTTTTTCGCAACAGCATGATGTTGTTGACTCATCTTCACTTCGTGATCTAGAATAACCCCTAACTATTCCTGCTTTCCTGTTTGTCCCCTGCCCTGTATTTATGTAATGAAACATAATTCCTTCCCCTTGACAGTACTGAATTTCACCCTCTTTTATCAGACCATTTCTCCAGTGTAGCCAGGTCATTGTGAATGTGCTTCACAGGAAGTTATAGCTTTTGAAGTCTTCAGAAAGCTGAGCAGGTAAGATCTGAGTTCCATCAGCCATCCAGGTAAAAATAAACTGATAAGTGCTTCATGCTGAACAGATTCTTCTGGAGCTCACTTAAAATGTTCTGTTTTAGAAGATCCCAAGAAGCAATTCTCTGAATATGATTTCCCTCTCAGTACTGCACATGGCTTTGGGTTTATCTCAACCTTGTTTCTTTAGTCAGTTTATGAAGATAGCAGAGAATTTTCTTTCTGAAAGTCAAATCTTGATTTGGCATCGTACTGGTTGAAGGGTGTGCTGGTCTTGTCTGGGGTAGAGACAATTTTCTTTACAGTCACTGGTATGAGACTCAGTTTCAGATTTGTGCTGACACAGGGTTGATAATATAGAGATTTTTTTTAAATTGTTGAGCAGGGCTTTCACAAAGCCTTTCCTGCTTCTCATATTGCCACATTGAGAAGACTGGGGGTGCATGGGTGACTGGGAGGAGACACGACCAGGACAGGTGACTGCAACTGACCAAAGGGACATTCCAGATTGTATGACATCAAGCTCAGTATATAAAGTGGGGTAAAGAAGGATGAAGGGAAGGAACTTTTGGAATATTGGCATGTGTCTTCCCAAGTCACTGTTACATGGCCCTGCTCCCCTGGAGGTGGCTGAATACCTGTCTGCCCATGGGAAGTGCCCTTTTGTGTGTGTACAAGGCTTTTACTTGCCCTATTAAACTGTCTTTATCTCAACCTGTAAGTTTTCTATCTTTACCTGTTCTGATTGTTCCTCTGATCCCACTGGTGGGGGAGTGAGCAAGTGGAGCTTGGCTGCTGGCTGGAGTTAAACCATGATCTGTCATCTCACCTGCCTTGATGTCTGGGTGGTAGAGCTCCCCATCTAGGGCACTTGTCTAACCTTTCCTTTAAACACGGGTGATGACAATTCATCTGGCCAGGTTTACTCATTTACCAGGGTCTCAGAAGACACTGTAACTGTGTACTTTCATCCTCAGTGTCTCCAGAGAGTGTCTAAGGAATTAAACTTATATATCTAGATTATTGATACCTAATTTTAGATGGGATGTATCTCAGCTCCAGCCCTTTTCCTGGTAGAAAGATAAGAGATCATGTACACTATTTGTTCTTAAGAGGTACATTCTTGCTGTTACTCATCTGCTGAGTATTTTCATGGTGATTATTTTTTCCAATATTGAATGGAGCTTGAAGTTAAATGATTTGGTCTGCAATTCCCCAGTTCTAACGCCTTTCCTTTTTAAACTCAGAAACCATACATAGAATCCTAGAATCACCTGGGCTGGAAAAGACCTTTAAGATTATCAAGTCCAACCATTACTTCTTCCAAGAGCATACTTGTCACAAATGTACCAAATCAGCTTTAAAAAAAAAAAAAAAAAAATTTCTAGGCACCATTTGTCTTATTTTGTCTTTCTTGGAGGTGGATACTTTACTGTATTTAACATTAGATTACAGTTCATGAAGACTGGCAAAAGATAATGGTGTGTTTTGGCATCCTGACTGACCTTTGTCAGCATCTCTCCTCAAATGAGTAGTAAATACATGTAGTTAACTTACCAATTCATGCTGTGTTTCACTTCCCCTGCTAGGCAATATTCTATTTCTTCAGAAATAAAACAAATGCTTTTCTGGCTTTTGAAATGTTCTTTGCATTTCTTTTCATTTTGCAGTAAAGATATAATGACATATAACCTTTTTTGTAAACTATTTTAATGATGTAATAAAAGCCATTATTAATAGAGGAATCCTTTTGCCAATAACATCAAAGGTTTTTCAGTTTTGTATTAAAGAAGAGTTTTCAGTTGGTAGTTAAGGAAACTATTGTCCTCTCTTTCTCCATGAGACAGGTAATCTTTCTATGCATGCACTGAGTGCCTACCTCACTTCTGAGCCTAGTTTAAATTTGTGGCTCATTCTCCAGTAAGGGAATAGCTGCTTTCTGCAGGGAGCTACACTGAAATCACTTCACTACAGAGCATCACTAAAACATTAGATCTGACTACCTGCAATAGAAGACAAAGTCTTCGTATCATTGTCAGCTTCCAGATTTTCACTTTTGAAATTATTTCTGCTAGAGCAAATAAATGATTACTGATTTTCTTATGTCTACAGATACTTGTATTTTTGATAAAAAATGTAAACCAAGCTGGGAAATACCATGCCTATGCATGTTCTGTGTCACTGCAGGACAATGGAGCACACTGCAGAGGTACTTGAGCTGCTGCCAACTGGAGATGGTGCTACCCATTGTCCACACACTGCTCTGACATCAGTGAAAATGTGTTAACATGACATTTTATTGTGTCCTTATGCTTGTGCTGTAGAAATGTGGGGATTTCTGCATCACATCCTGAGTGGGCCGGGCATTGCTGTTCAGGTAGCAGAGAGTGGAAGACCAGTGACATAATGTGACTCAAAGTATCCTGATATACACTGGGACAAAGGGGAGGACTTTGTTAACATTGGATGACTATCCAGCAATTCTGCATTTGAGTGAACTATTTAAAACTGGCATATTGGTCTATTATTGCAAACTGGAATCTTTTTGTAGTCTGTAATTTCAGAATACAACATTTCTATGATGAAGACTGAACTGGTATGAAAATGAGGTACTTTAACATAGACAATTCAATATAAATATGGATAGTAACTCTGGAAAATAATTTCCCTTCTATTTTTTTTTTTTTTTTTTTTTTTCCAGGACCAGGTGTCAGATACAGTGAATTTGCTGTGTCACATCCAAAACCACCTCCACTTGTTGGACAACACACAGTGGAGATACTGAAGAGCATGCTGGGGTATGAGGATGACGCTATAGAAGAACTGCTTCGCACTGGTGCTGTGGCTCAGCATGAGGTCAGATAAGGAACATTAGCTACATTCCTTCACACTGAGTTCACATTACTTTGTCCTCTCTTTGCTCCCTTCAGTTTCCCTAATGGGACTCAAACAGAAGACATAATTTAATTCCTAATTTTCTTCCATGTGTGTTTGTATGATTTTAACACTGATGTATCAAATAAACAATCTCATTCTGTCTGAGTGAAAGATTTTCTTGGGGGGGTTGGGAATAAATGTAATTATGCAGTCCGATGTGACTACTCATTCTCTACTTCACATGGAAAATGGAATCCTTATCATAATTACAGTAATTGCCTAAACATTTGTCTGTCCCCAGAAAGACACGATGTTAGTGAAAAGAAGCAGAACCTTGAAAATCTGTATACTAGACTCTCCACTCACAGAGAGCTGCTTTGTATTTTAATAGAAAGTAATTTATTTACAAATTTGTAGTTGATCTGATTGATTTTGAACAGAATTATCCATCCTGAAAGCTTTCTTCCTCTCTATTTTAGATCAACAGTAACTATTGAAAAATTTACCTCTATTCCCTGGAATTCCAAAGTACTAATATGTCTTTATATTGCATTGCACAGTCATGACAATCTCAACATGTTAGCAGAAAGAAGCCAAAATTGGCACAGTTCTTCAGTTATCAAAAATACCTTTTCCAAGACCAGTTGAGAGACAAACTGTGGCTGAATAGTCTTCTGTAATTTTATTCAGAAAGACCCAGGGTACTCTTCATTAAACACTGGTTCACAGAAAACCACGTGCTGAATGTCAAATACCAAAAATTGCCAGATGGCTCAGTCTGGTTCTGTGGCTAGGTACTGATCCCTGTCTCTGACTCTAGTTACCATCCAAACCACCTTCATTATGGGGAAAGCACAGGTTGAAATCTGCACCATACTTTTGACTCGGTTCAACCCCCATTGTTAAAATGTGGTGAGAGGTGACAGATCTTCCTCAAACTTCATAATACCGTATTCTTTAATAGGATCACTCTTGAGAGTAAGGAACCATGTAGAAGAAGAAGGTGGAAGAATTTGATCCATGAGAAATAGCAAGGAAAAGATTAAAGGAGAGCCATTTATTCTCTATAAACCTGTCTGGCAGTTCTTCACTCACAGGAGACATCCCAGGCTCCTCTGTGACAGTATATAATTTACAGCTAAAGTAAACTCAGTGTATGGCAAGGGTTTAAGCTTTGTTGTGTTTGCACTGGGAGCGAGGCAAAGCCTTTCTTGTCTTAGAACTGAATAAAACTAAAATCAACACTCAACACACAATGTCCATGTTTCTTTCAAAGTATCAGAAACAGGACTGGCATTATAACTGGCTTCTCACTTTGTTTCCACTCTAACAAACAAGATCCTCTGTGTTACGCTTGAACTTCACAACTCTGAATTACCTTCTGGGGGAGGAAAAGAGATTATTACATAATCAAATTGCAGCGGAACCCCACTGTGGTTGCTCATTTTTGAATCCCAGTGTTTTGGTCCATTTTTTTTCTTGTTTTCTCTGGTTTTTGTGTTCTTCTAATTTTTTTTTCTGCACTGCATTCCTGGCACCAAACACCATACTCTATCCATGTGCTAAAGACATCATGAGATCCTGGAAGAGTGACTTCTAAAATAAATATAGAAGTAAGTCTGAACTGAGAATTGGGACACCATAGGGGAAGAACTGAAACTGAATTGGAAGGGGTTTTGATATAGTCCACCTTCCTTTTAATCTAAGGGGAACATCCCCTTTTTAATGAGAAAAGCAGAAATTTGAATTCCGCTTCATATAAAATGGATAATCTGATATTGAACTAAGCCTTGTTTACTAATGCAAAACACTGTCAGATAACACTCAGAAATAAATTTTCTGGGTTTACTTCCCAAAGGGTTCTTTTTTCCACATTTCTAAGAATCGCATACACAAGGTATAATAAAATATTGCTCAGTTTTGTTAAAGGATTTCTAAAAAAAATCAGGGTTTTTTTCCTGTGCTTTTCCAAGCAACGGAAATAGCTAATCACCACATCCTTAGCTACAGTAAATTGGCAGAGCTGCTGTGACTTTAACATAGTAATGCTGGTTTAAATAAGCTGAATATTGGGCTTTAAACTCCATAAAGTATTTTGTGCAGAGTTCACACGCAAACAGTATTTCCCTTTCTTTTTCTTTTTTCATTAGTGTTGCTCCTTTCCAGTTTGCTGTGTTGACAGTCAAATGCCTAAAGGGATAATCAGAGACATTATTTTGTCTCACCTCCAGCAGTTACTGCAACAGGAGGAATCCAGATACCATTTCTCAGTGTTTAAGTCAAACACTCACACACAGACTGATGCTTACTCTTTAAGTCAGAAATAAATGGAAGCCTTTAAATAGGTGGAAGCTAGAAAGTCCTTTAGCTTCCAGCATCTGATCATGAAGTTTTACCCTTTCATAAGGTTTAGTCTTTTGGTTTTGGATGATTTGGAAGACATTTAAATAATTAACATGATAATATTTAAGCTTTTTAAAGCATATTGCCTTTAAAAATGAACAAATAAATGCAGAAGAAAATAAAAAATAAATTTGCTGCACTCTTCCCAAGAATCTTCATGGATAAGTGTCAGTTGCATGAATAGAGCTCAGTTGCATTTTGAGAATATTGTAATTTCAAAATGGTTTTCTCTTGTACCTCAAAACTTGGAATCAGACATCACATGGGATTCTGGAACTCATAAACTGAGATCCCTCCACTTTCAAGGAAGAAATGTAGTTCGTGATGACTATACACAGCTGCCTCTAGCAATGAATGTTTGTTTTTCTCTGCTTAAATTGGAAAAGAATCTTCTGGTGCTGCCATGATGTGAGAGTGTGTATGGTATTTGCTTTAATTGACTTGATTTATACATCACTGTATTAAAAAAAAAGAAATTAAGAAAAAGCCCCCAAAAACAAGAGTGATATGGGACACCTCTGTTGTCTGGTTACATACTGAACCCACTTATGCAGTGTTTGTCAGGAAGCTTTAGCTATCATTAGAAAAGGAGCTTTCCATTTTGGCATCTCTTCTTGATGCCATGGTCCATGGCCACTTTGGCTTCGTTCTTTGTATTGGGGAATCCCATTGTTCTTGTATTATCTTCACTATTAAAAGCGTTTCCTCAGCCCTCCTCATATAACTGTCTTCCTTTCTTTTCCATGCAAGCTAGTAAAGCTCTAGACCAAGTATAAATCACCCAGAAAACTGCAAAACTGGTCAGGCAGAGTTGGGAGGATTTTGCATAGCCTGAGGATCTCACTGAGGGATATTTTAATGCATCAACAGAACAGTACAATCAAATAACAGTCAAACAGAAAGTAATGGATTTTTCTTGCTCCTGCATGGATCTTGTTCCTGGTAACTCTTCCCCAGAACCTTCCCATGCACTTGGGAAGTCCTCACATGCTTGTCTGCAATGGATGCCCGGGAACAGAAGTGCAAAAGTAAGTCTTTTTTGATTAGTGGCCAGGAGGAACAATCTGCTAACTATCAGAAGCTCACCAGGCTCAGCAGTGATCCAGCTAATGTGCAAAGGCCAGTGAAGCCATATTGATATGAAGAATGGTCTGTTAAAGAGATGTATACAAAATATGAAAATCCTTTTTTTTAAGTTCATTGAAATAGATTGATGCCTGATGATATTAATCAGAGTTTCGGTCTTGCTTCTTCAGAGATTAAAGCTTGCCCCAAACATGTCTAGTGACAGTAATATGTTGAGGCTAAAATAGCAGTCAGAAATAGTTCTTCCAGGGAGTGTACATGTGTACTCAAAAACTGAGGAGAACATTTTTGTTGAATTGCCATGTAGCTCTGCCACTCACAGAGCACTGTAAATCCTCAGCCCTGGTAAGATAAAAGGCAGCTAGGCATCTCTGTGGTTAAAATGGCCTTGATTTCTTTTACTATCTAGATGACAAGGCACAGTTAATCCTTTGACCTTTCTAACATTATAGTACTGTACTAAAATGTATTTATTTCCCCCAAACATATTAAAATGTATTTAATTTCCAAAAGAAAGAGGAAAGGTAAAGTACTTTCTGAGTTCAGGAATGCTGGCACAGCTGCTCACATTTCATGTCAGTGACATTAAACAGTGCCAGATACAGTACTTTTCTTAACTGCTTGTACATTGAGTTTAATGTGACCTGATGAAATGTTAAAGATTATTAGCTGGTGAAAAAAAACCAACCAACCTTGGAGCAGTTCCTGTAGGATCAAGTAACTTCCCTACACAGAAGCCTTCGTGATACTGGCCAATGTGATAAAAAAACAGTGATAACAGTGATGCAGTCACCTTTTTAAAGCTGACAACCAATCAATTCAATTATTGTATGTTTCTGTTGTGGCTGGAATTTTGAACAGACATGAGAAAAATGCCTGGGATCACATATGGCGAGGGCCCATGAAACTTTTGAAAGATCTATTTTTTTGGCTCAGACCGTGTGAAACAATGAAGGGGGACCCAGTAAAGGGTTAAGGTGGAGACAAGCTGTTGATTTTCAAATATTTTTCTATTCTCTAGAGCTAAAAATGAATTAGTAAGTACCAATTAGTCCTTAGTTATCAAGAAATTCTTAAAAATCTTAGTGTGAAGAATATACGTCTGCCATAAAAAAAAACTCAATATGATTTAATTTGCAGTGAGCAGTGTCACACTGCTTATTTACAAGGTACTCAGGAAAGCAGACTGGAGAGGAGCTCACTTCATTGCAATTGCTTCTGTGTGTCAGCTATTTGAATATTTGTCTAACATCTACCTCGAACTAGCCAAAAGACCTTTTAAGTATAAAAAGAAATTTGAAGATGTGTAACCTGGTAGAGGAATGCATATGCAGGCCCCATTTCTTGGAGATCCATATTAGGAGAAGGTAAAGTTTCACATTAAAAAGTTGTGCATAAAAAGAGCAGTATGTACATTTCCCGCTGAGTCTCTCTTCTCCTTGACTAAAGCAAACATGTGAGAAAAGTAACAGTTCCCTGATAATATTTTTTTGGTCTTTTCATTAAAACCTTCTCTTTCCCAAAGCCAACAGTGAGGACTTTCAGCAGAAAGACAGAAGTACTGATTCAAGAAAGCCACTGCAGGGTTTTCTGCAAGTTGCAATTGAAGTGTCTCATGCCCCTATCATCTTCAGGCCAGGTGGCCTTAAACACCAGTGATTTATGGTTTGTGT